AAATCGGTACAGTTGTTTACCGCTTCGAATGACTGCTACCACTCACGATTATGCTAGTTCGAGCCTTTTGAAGAGCAAATAAATGCGGTATCGGCAAAAAAAAAAAAAATTGCCCGCATTTTTTTTTACGGGGGGAACTCGAATAAATGCGTCGCAAAGTGGAGAGGGTATCTCGTGAATGTTGCGTAATTTGGTATGGTTTGGGGATGCTTAATTGTTATTTGATCTTTATTATTCTTATTTATTGAATAAAGGAGAAACGATGTCAAGGAGTATAAAGTTAGAGTGCGTCTTTGATAAGCATGGTGCCGTCGTTGGGTTGGACGGATAGGATGAATGTTTTGTGGTCGCAAAATTGCACTGTCAAGGGGTGTTTGAGGAGTGGTCATGCGATTGCGTAACTGGTGAAGACGAGGTCGATGCAACTGCCGTGGATGGTGGTGGACAGGCTGCTGTTTTCGACGTTGTGGTTGGACACGCAGTACAGCCCGTGTCAAGTGTGCATGTAGTCGACTAACCAATCGTCCTTGCGTATGTAGACGTTGAAGTTTCCGACGAGCACGAAGGGGTTCGATTTTCGCAAACGTCCGTACACGCCGTTCATTGCACGGTTGCCATACAATGTTGGCAGAATACTCGCTGTTGTTGACGCTGAAGACGGTGAGGATGGGGTAACATTGCCTTGATCGAGTGGTGGAACGATGATGTCGGGTTGTGCCCCAGTACTGGTTGAAGGTACTATTGCCATCTGTTGCTTCCATCGCATCTACTCGAGTCAAGCAAAGCGTGAAGTCAAGCGAAGGAGGTAAATGAAGAGGGGATGGAAGGGGAGAGAGGGAGGGGAGCTGAGCAAAGCAAGTGGGATGTGGACGCCGACGACGAGTGACATAGTAGCGACTAAGAAATGCTCCGCGTTAAAAAACAAAACAAAACATTTACATCATATCCACGGAGGGAATGATGATGAGTGGTCGAAGCGCCCATCCATCCGTCCGTGCTTCTGTCTGTATGTTTGTGCGTGCATCCATCCGTCCTTCTCTCTGTCTGTCCATCTATCTGTCTATGCGTCCATCCGTGCTTCAGTCCGTCCGTCCGTGATTCTGACTCTCTGTCTGTCCATCCGTCCATCCATGCTTCTGTCTGTCTGTCTGTCTTTCTGTTCATCCGTCCGAGCGTGCGTCCGTCTGTCCATGCGTCCATCCATCCATCCGTCCCTGCTTCTATCTCTACGTCCGAGCGTGTTTCTATCTGTCTGTCTGTCCGTCCGTGCATGCATACGTCCGTTCGTCTGTCTGTGTGTGTGTCAGTCCATCTGTGCTTTTGAATATCTGTCTGTCTGTCCATGCGTGCTTCTGTGTCTGTCCATTCGTAAGTCCATGCTTTTGTATGTATGTCTGCCTGCCCGCCCGTACTTCTGTCTGTCTGTCCGTCCATCCGTGCTTCTGTCTGTGCGTCCGTCCTTGCTCCCGCAGTCTGTGCTTCTGTCTGTCCGTCCGTCCTTCTGTCTGTCTGTCTGTCTATTCGTAAGTCCGTATTTCTGAGTGCCCGTCCTCTCGCGCTTCTGTTTGTGAAAAAAATACCACGTGACAAACCCGATCGTGCGCCAGTGCGCGCAATGATTCTAGTGCTCTCTAACGTTCTGCGTACGAACGACCGTAGCATTTTCCCCATTATGCTGTCTCAGTAGGACCGCAACGATGGTGGTGGCTTTGTGATGAACACGTTTTGTTATCAGCCACAAAAAAGATAACCGCTGTGACTGCTTATCGCTGTCATGAACGGGTGTGAGGGAAGCGTGTCGTTCGTACGCGGAACGCTAGGGAGCACTAGAATCATCGTGCGCACTGACGCGCGAGCGGGGTAGTCACGTGGTATTTTTTGTATTCCGCGGTCATTTGCATTTAGCAGAAAAACACTAATACCTAACAGATACAAAGTTCCAAAGTGTCTAATCAGACGTTTTGCAAACCGATCTATAACTTTCTCATTGAAATTTTTATCTATCTTCGTTTTTTTTAAACTTAGTTAATCAAACATATCTAATTAAACAGTATTTGAGAATACAAAAAATAGTCCGACTAGCTCCAGGCAACAGTGAGTAACATGCATTTGGTCGCGTCGTGATTACGTGTTCCGGCATATTTTTAAACTCTTGCTAAAGCTACGTGGAACACCCTGCATATAGGCACGCATACTCACCATCATCATAAACGATTATGCTCCACAGAAATTCGGTACAGCCCATTACTCTGCACAAGTCCACTAAAAATGAAGAAAACAGCTGAACAAACTGCTGACGAAGTTGGTGGAGCCGAAGCCCCTTTCCTAATCGCCGTGGGAAACTGAAACGGGGCAGGCAGAGAAAAGTAAAAGGAAACACCGCCGCAGGGCAAGCTGCATTTCGACGTACTCTCCCGAAGACATTAGAGAAGCTGAAGGACCCATCTTTGCATGTCGCAGGAAACCTAAATCGGCATGTGGGAAAGAAGAGGACGATGAAGGCACTCCGAAAGCATGTCTCCGGTGATCCTTTCATTTGGCGCAATCGCATTTGGTTTCAGCCACGAGCGTTTTTACCGCTGTTACAAATTTCTTACGAGGATCTAAAAGAATGGAATTCTAAACATAGATAAATTCAGTTGTTTTATGTATATGTTTTTTGTGTGTTTATTATGTTATCCTTTTGAATGCTTTTGTTTGTTTAGAAATCTAATACATTTAAATTATTACTTATATTACCTAATGAATTCAACCCTTCCTTTCAAGAAGTGAACTAATTTAAAAAGCAAGGCACCGTCCCCTTCATGGCCTATCCCTCTAGATGGGTTGCGCCAAGTTGTTGAGGAACCAACCAACCAACTCATGCTCCGAATATTTACGTATAGCACGCACGAGCCACGGCATAAGAAGCTTCGCCCCTAAAAACAGGCCCGGGAGGCCGAGTGACGGCAAAACCTGATCCGGCAGTCTTCCAAGCCGCGCAAAATCGCGAACGGGAATGCAAGCGCCGGTGGCGGACGGATCCTGCAAAGCACGCCGCCGCTCGCGATGTCAAACGCTTGCAACAACGCCGTGCCCTATAGCGTGCACGACAGCGTCAACGTGACAATTGCGGGAGCACGTTCGCCCCGCTGTCGGCGAGAGTCTAACCTCATTAGAAAGCGCGAACATTTAACCAATGATTGTCTTCAGTGCCACGTAGGGTTGAGCCCACTGCTAAACACCGGGGCCGCACGTTTCAGCTTCCATCATTCACCCCGTGGATACGCTGCCATTTTTTTTGCCATTTCGGTTATAAGTGACTAACTGGTTGCTTCGATGACAACAAATGGACAGAGCACATCGCTTAAGCGCTTTACCCATGCCCAGCATATATTTGTCGCTTCCATTTATTGAGACGAGCGAGAAGAGATAGAGCGGTTAATTATTTTGGGTTTTCCGAATATTCAGAAAAAGTATTCTAAAAATAAAACTGGTTCGAAATTGGTGGTTCTGTTTCAGTTCAAGCGTTAAATTGGTTACATAAGGCATCGAATTACAAGTTTACTTAACATACGGATCGACCTTTCAACTGTCATAATAACTCATGAACATTATTTGGATAAGTTTATTGAAGTATCACACACTCTTCTTACATGTGAGCAGCGGGGACCGTTGCGGCATCTCACGGAGCAGATCTCAACCATGTATACACCAAGGTTTATGGACGCCGAACTGCATGCGCCACTGGCAGACACCTAAGTCGTAAACAAGAGTCACCTGCAAGTCCTTATTCAATTATTTCCTTATTTGTAATCGCTTCCGGGGTGGATCTCGAAAGTACAGGCCGAGATCTCAGGACATTGGGGGAACATTAAACGCATTCGAGACGGTGCCACTTCCATTCGAATAATTGAACTTTCTTATCGCCTTCTGTGTAGGAATAAAACATAACAAGCCGGGAAAACCCCAGTTGTGTTCATTGGTATATAGAACCACCTCCTCTAAATACCAACACAGGAAGGTAGAAGAGGTGGGCGTTCACGTTACAATTACTTCTAAAAACATCCCTATACCTTGCTTGGCTTCATTTTTTGTCAGTTCTTATTGATACACTCAAACAACATAAGACATAAATGTATTGCGAATACAGCGCCGCCAACGTTCGAATCACCACGGCCCTCCGCGGGAAAAAGCCGCCGCGGTATCATTCCCACGAACCTTCCGCAAGCGCCAACCGATACACCAGTAGCACCACCGAGTCGCTAAAACGCGTGATTGCTGTTTCTTGTGTGCCCGGTTTCTTTCTAACCACGCCGACATGACTGCGCCAGCGTGGGAGCAGCGCCGTCCCTCGCCCACCTGGGGGTATGCTAACTATACGCCGACCATCCCTCGGCTACTGTGTACTTTTAGTACGCTCCTTACAACGGCCGCACGGGAGGCGCGCGCCTCCAGACAGGCCGTAATTCACTGGACGCACGTGTGCCATGAGGCTAAAATGACATAACGGGTTCTTGTAGCACTGCCGAAGATGTTATTATTATTATTATTATTATTATTATTATTATTATTATTACTATTATTACTATTATTATTATTATTATTATTATTATTATTATTATTATTATTATTATTATTATTATTCCTAAATTTCCTTTTTTCATTGAGTACTGTGCCAAAATCCTGTTCCTGGGTACTCCGGACCAAAATCCGGTAGCAGTGGGCACTTTTAACACAATGGCTGTGGGTATAATCCATAAAGAGAGTAAAATCAACCTACTACCTCAAGGTGGTTTTGATTGCGAATCTCTGAATTAGTAAAATTTATTTTCTTCTAACCACTTTCTAATTGATTAGGTTGACAAGTAATACGTGATCCCCTCTCATTATACGTTTCCTAGCCAGTTCCTGAGAGTGTGTGTGAGCCATGCATTTTCGCCATCATCATCATCATCGTCGTCGTCGTCGTTTAAATCCGCCGATTGGCCTCAGTCACGAGCTACCCCTTTCGAGCGGCTATGCTGGATACGCGAGCACTGATAACACATCGGCAATACGTGTGCTTCTGCAACTACACCGTCTTTTCGTCCCTGCTTATCGCCCTCACTATCGTGGCCATGGGCGTCCTCAGTTACCTGATCGTGCCTAAGCGACCCAAGCCAATCTACCTCGTCGTGAACTTCACCGACGAAGAGTTTGAGAACTCGTCGGCGTCTTCTTCGGCGTCGAAGAGAGCAGCATTCGTCGACGTGGGGGATGCGGATCGCGACCTCTGTTCGTCGCTGCAGTGTGACCGCGAGGCCGAACGCATCTTAGACAGTGTCAACGCCTCCGTGGACCCGTGCAACGACTTTTACGCTTACGTCTGCATGGCCTGGATGCGAAAGCACGAACCAGGCAGCAGCCAGGACAGAACGTCCATGGACTACGATATTCTAGACGCTTACTCGCGTTTTCTGATCAGCGTTCTCGGCTGGAAGAACAGCGAATTGCCGGCTGCCAAGTTATTGTTCGACACTTGTCTCGCGCCGCCTGTAGGCCTCTTCGTTGATCTCACCACCATGCTGTTCTACGCGGTTGGATTGCAGCGTTGGCCCTACTTGACCTCGGACCACATACTATCAAACGACGTCTCCGTCAGCGTTGGCAGCCTGCACAGGGTGCTCGGTGAGGACAGCCTCTTCCATCTGGCCATCGATGAACCACCAAACTTGCCGAGGCATCCAGCCATTTCCATCTCCGAGCCCAGATTGCTCGTCGGCCACGTCGAGGGTGGTCTGCCGCATGCCGAGTTCATGTTTCTGACGAAGGCGCACAGCGTGCTGATGAATCACCTCCACAAGCCCTTGACCACCAATGTGGCCACTGTAGAGATGGAGCTGGCGAGACGTACCACGGCCAAGCGAGCCGCCGACTGCACTCATCCGCTGAGCGAGTGTACGACGACGCACATCGACAACCTGCCAGCATCTCGTGTGCTGGTCTGGTCCCTGCTCCTCCAGGAAGCCTTCAGCGAAAAGATGGTCACGCTCAACGAACTGGTCGAGACGCCCAACTTTGAGTACCTGGCCAGCTTCAGCGACAAGGTCGACCAGTTGCTTAAGAAGGCCGACATACTCAACTACCTGGCGTTCCGCATCGGCTTGGCGCTGTCCCCACTCATCGGCAACGACGCGGTGCGACACCATCTGGCCTCCATTGCATATGGCCGAAATCCTCGTTTTCCGGAACCTCTATCAGTAGCTCAATATTGCCTCCGACTCTTGGACCGCTTCGAGCCAGAGCTCGTGACGCTTCTCGCGTACGACCGTTCCGTAGTCAAGCTGAGTTGGAAGGTGCTCCAATTTCTCGTTATGGATCATCTCAACTCTACGCTGTTCACGTTCCTGGGTGGAGACTTCCGCCGGCGCTTCTCGCCGGAGTTCGCGGATCACGCCGCGCGACGGCTAGCCACCGTCAAGTGGGAACCGTTGATGCCCCTGCGCTTCTTCAACAAGACGTTCAGGGACAAGTACTTCAACGGCTTCACGAAAGAGAACTCGAGCAAGTCTCTGTCTTCTTTCGTCCTATTCTGGCTTCAACGAGCCGTGAAGCGCCGGCGCGGTCCCATCGAGACAGGCGATAGTGAAGACCTCAGGAGTGGATGGGCGCACGGCTTTCTTCGCACGTGGCCCGCCTTCGGTCGCTCCTTCAGACACCTCGAGATACCACTGCCGGTCTTCGACCCCGCCATGTCGAACGATCCGAAGTTGCACGCTTTTCACGTGGCGAGGGCCGGCACTCGCATCTACCGGGTCCTGTTGGGATACGTATACTCGATGGCGTACGCATTCTTCTACAATACCAGCACATCTGATCCTGCGTCCGTGTTCGAAGACCTTCGCAACTGCCTGCGGCAGAGCTACGCCGAGCTTACGGCGTCCTCTGTTGGCTACGGCGTGACTCCGTCTCTAGCTCACACGGAGAAGACGTCGGCATCGGACATGCTGGACTTCCTGGCGGCCAAAGTGGCCTTCACGGCTTTCGACAGTTGGACACGAAAGGAAGCCCTCAACTTCTACTTCGCCAAAGCTCCACAATTTGATCAGAGGCAGTTGTTCTTCATATACTACGCACTCGCCTTTTGCGAGAACGTAAATCAGACAGCAACGCCAGCAGGAGACGACACGTCTAGCCCTGGTCGGGACCGCGTTAACGGTCCCCTGCGCCACATGAAGGAATTCGCAGACGCATTTCACTGCGCCGAGGGCTCATTCATGAATCCACCGAAGAAGTGCGGGGTATAACATTGCTATATTGTTTGCCGACGGTTCTTGGGCTTTTTTACCCCTTGTGTAAAAATTTGCCCACAGTACTGCGTGCGCACGGTTTGTCGCGCTCGATGAAGACATCATAGAACACGTAGAAACAGACAGCATGTATGTATTATAAGAGACACATCAATATTTTTGCGTTCGTTTTTTGTTTTTGTAGTGATACCAATTTCATAAAAAAGTTTGGGCACTCGAGCTCTTCGTATGTCAATTCATGCAACAACTGTCTGCTTCTTCAACAAACATCCTGATTTTGTGCATTTATATAATTTTTATGTATAGCTCACTATCGGAACGTGGACAATGAAATATGGCATACTGGCGGGAGAGCGAAAAATATAAGTAAAAAAGTGAAAAAAGAAAGGTTGAGCGCTCAAAACTGCTTCCAGGAATAAAAAAAAATGGTGAAGCTTAAGCCACGCAAGCCTGCCTTGGAACAGCAAAATTGGACGATTCTGAAGACTAATAATTAGCTTTAGCTATAGGTGACACACACACACACACACACACACACACACACACACACACACACACACACACACACACATATATATATATATATATATATATATATATATATATATATATATATATATATATATATATATATATATATATATATATATATATATATATATATATATATGTATGTATATGTATAAGAGGGACAATTAATCAGCTGCCCGCTCATAATAAGTTCACGTGCTACGTGACGCCAAACATGCGCATAAGAGTGTTTTCACACTCGTTGTTTGGCTTATAGATGGCGCTGACTGTCGCTCCTACTTCTAAATTCACAGATAAACCCAAAAAGTGGATGGAGGGAGTGCCGCTGTAATAGCTCAGTGGTTAGAGCATCGAACGCGTAATTCGAAGGTCGTAGGTTCGATTCCTGCTTACAGTTGGTAATTTTTTCATCCACTTTTCTTTCTTCTTATTTACATTCCATTAATGTTAATAACTTCCCCTGTACATTCCTTGGCATTACTGTCTGTTATATCTCATATATATATATATATATATATATATGTGTGTGTGTGTGTGTGTAGTGGGAGTAATAATCAATGAACCAGTTAGTCTTCGTGAAGGTATGGGATATGGCACAACGGGAGCGTTGTCAACAAGGATAAATATATTTATTTCCCAACAGTTTCGGGAGGGGTCCTCCCTTCATCAGGGGATGAGGCTTTATAAAATCTGTTCAAATGGCAATGAGCGCATTATGTGCGTGGAATAGCTGCCTCACTCGAGCCAAGAGTATAGCGTGTCAACTTTCGCATCATTGCAGATACGCAAAACTACTTCAGCTGAGTACCAGAAACCAGAATTACACATATAGCAGACGTTCCAAGCAACCGACTACTTGTAATCGAAGTCATTTTTTGTAATATTGTTGTATTATCGATCACTTTTCGTAAATTGCAACATTGTGAATAAATCAATTCAATAAGACACAGCTTTTTTTTTAAAGACGATAGTGGTTCTCTGGATACTTGAACGCAGAAAGTTTGGTCTGTCACACGATTCAGCCACCGTGCCAAAGTTTAAGTACTTGCTAAACACCCATCTTCAACTGCTGGCTGCGTTCATACTGGTTCACATTGTCGATCGAAAAGCAAATATTACATAATTTGTGAAGCGCAACATCGGTACGTAAGTATTAGGTTGATTGTTCCTTCGAGAGAAAATACTGAAATACGTAATTGAAAAGACCCTGGTATGTCTTAGGCTGCGCTGAAGACACGACGCTATATGCATGAAAAAGCCCTCTGCCGATGATATATGGTGTTACCTACTTCGGCAGGCTTCTACTTCGGCGCCCCAGTAGTACATGCGCACCGCCAGTGACCCTTCCGAGGAAATAAAATACTGTCTCAAAAATTGTTCTTCTTTGCAAACTATCATGCTATGCAGTATACCACATGCGACCGAAACATTGTTGACAAGTCGTGGATGTACGAACACATGGCATGCCAGCAGTGTTAATGCGGCAAAATGAAATCTGTTCAAACAAACGATCACTGCATTTATCATGCCAGGACGGAAATTGGTACGCGAACAGCATCACGGGCAGCTGCGGATAACCAGGACTCCTCCCGTCATCGCATGGCAGACGCGCTGGCATGGGCGTCCCTGCGTGGATGCAATACTGCGGCTCGACTGGCCCACGCTGGTTGCCCCGAGGCTTGCTCAGAAATGCAGGAACCACAGCCTGTGAGCTTAAACTAAAGATGGAAAGACACTTTGCAAATTCGAAACTGTGCTCGGCGAAAATCTGAGGCCATTCATTTGACCGACTATGCCATGTCTTTTACAGCGAAAGCTCTTATGAGTTCACAACAAGAGTCGCGTGCGTCGTAGTTGTCCCCCACCACTGGTTTCTGTAACCACCTTCGTACGAAATGGAAAAAAAAAAACTATAGCCCAATATTCCACCACAGAGCCACGCCGGTGCATGTAAACTTGCAAACTTACCTTAGGCAGACTTCATGTCGGGAACTTAAATAGTGTTAATATGAGTAATAAAAAGTTTTAGAAGAAAACAACGAACAACCAGGTGACACACAATGTGAATTGCGTAAAGAGTGGGTCGTCGAATACTCCGACCCATTAAAAAAGGTTCAGGCCTAATTCTTCATCGTCGCCAGCCACAACATAAAAAAATTGCTCGATCTTCGCGGAAATGTACAGCGGGTACGACGCTTCTTCAAAGAACGAGAAGGATGACATAATGAATTATTGCACTCTTTCTGTTTTATGGCGAACCTCTTTGTGACGTGGGTCGTGCATCCGCGATGTATGTATGTAGTAGTAGCAGTAGCAGTAGTAGTAGTAGTAGTAGTAGTAGTAGTAGTAGTAGTAGTAGTGGTAGTAGTAGTAGTAGTAGTAGCAGCAGCAGTGGTAGTAGTGGTGGTAGTAGTAGTAGTAGTAGTAGTAGTAGTAGTAGTAGTAGTAGTAGTAGTAAGTAGCAACCTCTCATTTAGTCCTTGGAATCTCCTCTGGATGGCAGTACTTCTATATGATGAGTGTATGGTAAAATTATGTGAGATGGTGGTACTTGGAGTGTTCACTAGACGGACGGATGGACGCGCGGACGGACAGTTGGACAGATGCATAGATGGACGGACGGGCCACGGATGGACGTATGGACCATAAGCTAACTTGCGCCTCCTCCTTATTCAGTGGACCAGTAGTGACAAGTGAGATTTATCCATTTTCTGTGCCACATGCCCGCTTATGATAACAATGTCTTTTTTTTTTCGATTTTGTTAATGGCTCATACCCGTTTTCTGATAGGCTACACAAATTCGGCTGGCCTAACAAGCTTCGCTGTTAATAAAATTCCAAAAGTCATGGCGCACGCGTGACACAACTTCCTTACCCCTGCATGGTCATCCATCCCAGCTTAGCTTGCAGCACACGCGTCGGAACGAAGAATGCAATTACAGCGTGCTGGGCATGCGCAGGTTCCACCTTCAGCGGGCGGGGAGGTGGAAGGTTATTCGCAGTGTCCCTCCTCTCTATTAACTCAATGTATGGGGGCAGACTTTGCGCCCCCACGTCTCAGGTGACTAGGGGGTCGGCCGGCTCCCGCTGTGCGATCGGCTAAGCAACATGCGACAAATCTCCCGCTCGTACTTGACCGGTTCTGAAAAGAAAAGGCGGCGGTCGATTCGTGAGGCAATAAGCTCCGTTAATGAAGGCATTCGATTCTCACTTGAAAAAGCGATGCAGGGCCCCTTTGAAATTGCGAGCCTTTGTGGAGGTAGATTGCACGAAAGTGAGGGCTGGCCTGTCACCAATACGTACCTGATGGTACATAAGCGACACAATTTTCACGCAAGGTGCAAAAGGGTAAAGCAAGTCGCTCTTCGTTTCTGTGTTTGCCCCTTTAATGCAATCACACCTTTATTTGAGTGGGCGCTGTTGGCTATGGGCACCGCCATCTTGGGCTATTAGGCCGACGTTTTCTGGTTATTTATATGTTGCCATATCTTATAGGCCATGACACATCGTATATACCAACTCAACCACTTTAAAGCCTGTTCGTCTAGTTGGTAAAGATGCAATTTCTGTAGTGCCATTTTTTTTTTTTTGCGGAGCGAGTGAGTCTAACCACGGAGTGGTAAAGTGGAAAAACGCCGCGAAACATTCGTAATCAGAATTTTTCTATCATCTCCAGCGAATATAAAGTCGTATACTCATATATATGCTGCAACTGAGTGAAAGCGAGGGTGATTCGTGCTCGAGCTTGGTGGTTTACTGCGCATGCGTGCACTTCGTGCGCATGCGCCGCAGCTCGACTTGGTCCATTGGCGGCCGCACCGGCAGCGCCGCTTCTCACAGTGCAACTTCTTTCCCGTCGTATACGCCGCGCAGAGTTGAGCGGGGCTGGATAAGAATATAGATACTCTAATTGCGAGGACTGGCGCGCATGAGTGCTCACGTACGTACAGAAAAGTGATTGACTCCATATTTCGCAGTCCAACTTTTTTACCCGCTAGGCTGTGCTACATGATGACTTTTCTTACATTTGAGCACGTTTTAAAACTACAAATCTTACCAACAATGCGAAAAAAAAATGCTGGGACATTGGCTATATTTCACGGTCTTTTCATTTCCAATACGATCTAATCACACCGTCTGGCCAGTTGTTGGTTTTTTTTTAACATCCCAACATGACGGCACTATGACGGCAAGACAGTCTATTGACGAATAGCGCATGCGCGTTGGCACCGTGAAGAAGGAGGATTCTCGTACGTGAGTATGCGAAATCGAAACAACATTTTGGGCTGTCATTACTAAAAAGAACAGGGAAAAATCTAGAAAGTTAAGTCGTTACAACTAGCCGGGGAACAGGACACATCTCACTCACTCACGGTCTGTTTTTGTAATGCTAATCGTAGCTGCCTGTCCACTATGGACCACGCAAAAGCTTTCCTGCCGCTCATTTCGCAGCACTGTTGGCGTAT